TTTCTTCATTTGCCATTCTTATTACCACCTCTAAACAATAGCACAAAGGAGAAGAAACCTCAACCCTCGTAGCCAACAAAGCCCAGATCTATAGTCAACAAACTGCACAATACCTAGTCAATTGTTCCCTTGTTTTAGAGTCCCCAAATAGAGCAAAAGAAAACTGAGAAATAGAGCCACAAAGAAAATTGTATAGAAGGAAGCCACACAATCAGAGCATGAGGGGCACTAGTGGTATTTAGTACTTGTTTTTTTTTAGTACATCTGATTATACATTATATACAAGGGGATAGTCCTCCCCTATTTTTAAATCCCTCTCTATCTGACTTAAAATTTGAATTCAAGATCTCCAACTTGAAGTTGCAAACTTTTAACTGTTGAGTCATCCCATTGGATTTATAAAGTAGTACTTGTTGATTCATCAAAAAGAAAAAAAAAAAAAACCCTAGTGTTTAACATTAATTAATGTGTTACCCAAAGAAAAAGGCTCTTTGATATTCACTTAATGGGTTCAAATTGTGAAAATTGGGCATGTAATTTTTAATATAATACTTTTGCATTCAATTTAAAGTTATTTAAAAATCTGGTAATTTTTTGTATTTCATTAACTCTTTTTTTTATTATATTTTGATATGAAATTAAACAACTCAACACAAATACTCTAACAAAAAAATAACTAGTTAAGTCCAGATATGGATTAATAAACTAACGGAAACAATTCGACTAGAATTCATTGAGTGCACGTAAAGGAGGGATTAGTGAGATAAGGACGCAATTGTTGTGGATTCCAAATGGAACCAATTAGGGCAAGAAAATGGTGGAGGAAACAAGGACAATACTTCAGTACTGGGTGGAATTGTGAGTAAGATTTGTCTTGGTTATTGCATGATTGTTTAATTATTTTTTTTAAAATTTTTCCCTTGTCCAATTTTCATGCCTTTTGTTCATTTGCTGTATTAGTGGAGGCAAAGTCATATTTCCAACAAGGTTCATTACCACAAAATGCTTTCGCTTTTGCTTTCTCTAATTTTGTGATGTGCGGCTGCAGAAGTATGGTTATCCAAACTTTCCTAATCTAAAAAATAAAATATAAAAATAAAGTTGTCCACTTTCATAATCAGGAATTGTTCGTGGGTCATCTTTGGGTCTTCCCAGTGAACTTGCCACATAAGAGAGCTACATTTTATATATAAAAAATATAAGGTTGGAAATTATTTATATACCTTGTATATTTTTGAGAATCATATTTTACAATTTAAAAAATATTAAGTTATAAAGTAAGAGTTATTGTATAAAAAATGACTCTCAATATTAAGAGATTCATCATCATCTAATAATTAGTGTAATATACTCTAATACAATTTATGTAATATTATATTTTTTTGATATATTTTTATATTATCATTTTTATTATTTTAAGTTACGTAATGAGAGTAAATACTTTTTTTTTTTCTTTTTACCCATATGTATATTTACAATTTGAGCTTATGATTTTACTTCACATGATGAAAAAATCACCACTAAACTGCTTAAATCATTCCTCAATATACATTGGATATGCGTGCACAATGTATTCGGACATGCTACTAATTACTCGTCTTATTCTACTATAAAAAAATTATTCTTCTTGTTCAAATTAGTTGCCATAATTTGACTTTTGTAGTTGACTTTCAAGTAATTCTTTATTTTATGTAGAATATAAATGATAATAGAGAAAAAAAAAAGTCCATTCTTATTGATCATATGCCATACCCTCTCTATTTAATAATAGTAGTTTTAGTTTATTTTTTTATTTTTAGGATAAAAAATATAGGTAAATAATTAAGATATCAAATAAATACTAATTAACTTTTTTATATGTAATTTTTATTTAATAAAAAATAACTATCTTTTATCTCTCAATATATCACAATTGTATTTAAAAATCAAAATTTTTATTTTTATTAAAAAAAGTTAGTATAGAGTTATTTATGTCATTATAAAAATTATCTTTTTGATTAGAATAATGATAAATGGATCAAAATTTAGACTTAAAATATGAGATTAATAATATAATTTATATCACATTATTTAAAATATTAATAAATAAATTTTATATTATTTAATAATTAATTTTTTTATTTTTTTAACTTATAATATTATATATATTAATTAATTTAATAATATAATATAAATTATATTATTAATCTCACATTTTCATCATTCTATCATTATTCTTTTAATTAACGTGGCATAACTTTATGGTTTTTCTTTGGGAGTGGGGGTTAGGGGGGTAGACAAAGATTATAAAGGGGTTCTTTTGACCCTTAGAAGGAACGTGGCAACCGTGCCGGTGGCGTAGGAGGAGGTCCATGCTGTTCGGGTGAAAACCGTGTCCAACAGCAACCCGAATATTTCCATTTTCCATTACGTCAATAAAATCTCGCGTGCCCTGCCCCCACATTTCCATGAAATGACACAACTGCCCTTAAGTAAATTATTCACATTTCCACATTTGTCCATGCCCTTCGGACAACTGCTAGCTGTTGTAAGTTGTTAAGAGTACTACTAATGACGAGAAAAATGAATTGAAAATTATTTAAAACTGAATATATTACAAGTGGGTGGTGTGACTGAATGAAAGTTTGTTGCATTCTTGATTTTTTTGCAAGATACCCAACCAATAGCCACAAGGATCCACCCACCTTTCAATCTGCAGTTTTTTTTTTTTTTGGTACTTAAAAAATTTTTCCACTGTTTTTTTCGTTTTATTTTGTGGATTTTAGTAAATTTTTTTGTTGGTTTTGTTTTGTTTTGTTTTGGTTAAAATCCCATTTTGGTCCCTGAATTATTGTAAGGACCTCTGATTTGATCCCTAAATTTAAAAAATTCCTGATTTGGTTCCTAATGTTTACTATTTTTATCCTGACTTGATCCTTCCGTTAATTTTTCACATTAATTGATGGACAAACACAAAAGAAGCATTACATGTCACGCAAAAATTGACAAGTTGGAAAAAATAGATGACATGGTCATTCTAACTCATCTCACCCAAAATTTTTTTTTTTCGTTCCTCTTTTTCATCTACCCTTTCTTTAACTTCTGTAAATCCTAACATCTTAACCAATCTCTAACATTTCAAATTTCTACCTTTGTTGGGTTCTTCACCATCATCATCAAACAATAAAACCCACAAAAAAACAAAATTTTATTTAAAAATTTTTTGGCTATGAATTCTTT